TAGTGACACGAACATCATCCTCCTGCTCTTCATCTAGTGACACGAACATCATCCTCCTGCTCTTCATCTAGTGACACGAACATCATCCTCCTGCTCTTCATCTAGTGACACGAACATCATCCTCCTGCTCTTCATCTAGTGACACGAACATCATCCTCCTGCTCTTCATCTAGTGACACGAACATCATCCTCCTGCTCTTCATCTAGTGACACGAACATCATCCTCCTGCTCTTCATCTAGTGACACGAACATCATCCTCCTGCTCTTCATCTAGTGACACGAACATCATCCTCCTGCTCTTCATCTAGTGACACGAACATCATCCTCCTGCTCTTCATCTAGTGACACAAACATCATCCTCCTGCTCTTCATCTAGTGACACGAACATCATCCTCCTGCTCTTCATCTAGTAATACAAACATCATCCTCCTGCTCTTCATCTAGTGACACAAACATCATCCTCCTGCTCTTCATCTAGTGACACGAACATCATCCTCCTGCTCTTCATCTAGTGACACGAACATCATCCTCCTGCTCTTCATCTAGTGACACAAACATCATCCTCCTGCTCTTCATCTAGTAATACAAACATCATCCTCCTGCTCTTCATCTAGTAATACAAACATCATCCTCCTGCTCTTCATCTACACTGCAAAAAATGCTTTTCTTGCTTAGATTTTTTTGTCTTGTTTCTAGTCCAAACATCTAAAAATTTCTAAATTAAGAAGAATTTTCTAGACAAAAAAACAAATTGTCTTGTTTTCAGAAATATTATGCCCATATTAAGTGAGTTTTTCCTTAAAACAAGTTAAAATATCTGCCAATGGGGATGAGCAAAATAATCCTACGTCAAAAGAAAAAACAAGATTAATTTGCTTACCCCATTGGCAGATTATTTTGCTTGTTTTAAGGAAAAACTCACTTAATATTGACATAATATTTCTCAAAACAAGACAATATGCTTTGCTGGTCTAGAAAATGGTTCTTGATATAAGAAATTTTAGATATTTAGACTAGAAACAAGACAAAAAATCTAAGCAAGAAAAGCATTTTTTGCAGTGTAGTGACACGAACATCATCCTCCTGCTCTTCATCTAGTAATAAACATCATCCTCCTGCTCTTCATCTAGTGACACGAACATCATCCTCCTGCTCTTCATCTAGTGACACGAACTTCATCCTCCTGCTCTTCATCTAGTGACACGAACTTCATCCTCCTGCTCTTCATCTAGTGACACAACAGGCTTTACTTCTTCAAACACCAGGGTCTGTTCCTCCTGCTATGTAAATGAAAAGGTCAGTAATACTTACCAGCCTCTTTTTTTACCTCTCTGTACATTTAGTGGGGACATAAAAAAATCTGATTTTAAATATGTAAATAAATAATAAATACTTTTAGTGTTTTGATGAAACCATGCTGATAGAGATGCTCTCTTACCCCAAAATAATAGTAAGATTTCTATCACTTTTACAATTTCTTCAAACCCCTCCATTCATTAAAACTGTGTCAAAACTATATACACAAATTTAAAACATCACTGCCGTGCTAAATCTGGAAGCATGTGGCTTTTGAAAAAGTTTTCCAGTGCCATCAGATTTGCTTGCCAGTTGTTGTCTTTAGATATGGAAATAATGATGCTTTCTTTGGTGGTCCAAACAACAAAGTAGCAGGTCTGTCTTGCTGTTAGATGAAGCTGGACCTGTATTTGGTCCAGTAGGGATGGTCTCTGCGCAGAATGTAACTTTCCCCTTCCATATTGATACAGAAGCCCTTTAATTGCGATGCTTCCCTGATTGTCAAATTTCTTGCCTGATAGGGACACTTTACCTCCAACACCGCTGATGACCCCACCAGACCATCTGGAGATGCTCCCAACAATCCTGATGGAGATAGCCACAAACCTGACTCTTGGACTGGCATTTGAGTTGCTGCAGTGAATGCTTGGATGGCCTCACGCTCATTGACTATACCCCACTGGACAGACAAAACGCCATTTAGGACCTGTTTACCCAGTACCCTAGAAAGTAATGAAGTAGTCACTTGTTTTGATTTCAGAACTGCTCCAAAGTTGCTAGCGGTCAGTCTTCCTCTTCTCAGCAAATGCCAATTCGGGTTGCTGCGCTGACCTATTGTTGCAACTTGAATGGCTGTCTGTTGCTCAGCATTCAGAAACATGGAGGCCAGGATAGCCTCAAGCCCTTGATGCTGGACAGATTCTACAATTTTTGAAACCTGGTGAGTTTCCAAGCAAAACATTGTTTCTTATGGCTCAGGTGAAAGGAGCCAAGACATTCCTGAGAACCTGCCACTGAGCCTCTTCCTAAGCCTGTCATGGTCCTCTGCAGTTAGCTCTCTTGTCAGCGGATTGTAGGGCTGATTTGGTGGAGGGAATAGTTCTTCCACTGAGTGTTTTGTCTTGGCGACCTTTGGCTTTTTGGCCATTTATTTAATTCAAAACTGCCACTAGTTCGGAGTGCATGAGAGTGTTTTCCATGAAGTGGCAGTTGGTCAAATATTTTTAACATGCCTGTAATAAATAATAAATAGCCTACTGCTAAAGTAAGTTATATAACAAACAGGTGATATGCCCCACCGGCATGATAATATTAATATTATTTTGTAGTGTGTGCTGTGCCGCGGATTTCATATGTGCACGTTTAAGATTTGCGGTAATAACATCGCCATGATGGTCAACGAAATCTAAACATTCTTTTCACCCCAACGCAATTTAATAGGGCACTATAAAGGCTAAAGAACCTAATTCTTATTTTTGCTTTTTGAAGCCTAGGGCTATACTTCTCACCATGTATCTTTTCTAAACATACATTATAGTGTAAAAGCATGTTTATTACGAAGAAAACTAAAACAATTATATTTTCATTGAACACATCACATAAGGTACACATACAAAACCGTCTATTTAGTATTGTGAAAAGGCAATCTTTTCAATCAAATCTGGGGTTAAAGTGCCACCCAGCGATCAAAAGCTGTTTGCGCAACAATTACCGCCGCCGCAGTATGAATGGCAGCAAAAGAAACAAATTGAAGCAGTGACATCTCTAAAAAATAAATAAAACACAGAACCCAGTCAGGTGCTAATGTACTACAGCAACAGTGTTATTGGTAGAGTTCAACTGTTTTATCGAGGTATAAACAAACAAAAGCTTCAGTATATTAGTTTTACACATTGGCATTCTCAGTCTTTTTCCTGATGGTAACAGCTGATATTCACAGAAAAGAGGATGTTTGGAATCAGCACTAATACGCATTACTCTTCTCATAACCGCCTGTTCATAGAGACTCTATATTGGCTCGTATTGTTTTATTCCTATAATTTTCATGGCTTTTTTTTTTATATATATGAACTAATTTTTTTTTTCAATTGAACAGACCGGTTTTCAAATCAGACTGTGATTCCATAGCGAATAAGACTTTCAAACAAAGCTCGGTAAAACACAAGCAAGATATTGCTACCCACCCCATAGAAATATAGAAATATAAAATTAGAAATATAAAAACGGTCTTCCATAGCTTGCCTGTGTTGTTCCTTTGCTTTTTTCAAATGATAATTTAACTCTTCCAGTGCCACTAACAATCCAGCCTTATCCCTATTTCTAAATGCCAGCTTTTTTTTTATTTATACACACTTTAATGTCCTTTATAATATAGGGCTTGTTTTTTAGGATAAACCACAACATCCTTACTTTCAATCACATCCACAGAAAAGGTAATATAATCACTTATTGCATCAGTGGCCTCATCAAGCTCTTGCTGCTGAAATATGGACCAATCGGTGCATGAAAACAGCCCTTAAGTGCTTCCACAGAATCTTCTGTCCATGTATTAACAGTTTTGCATTCTGGTCTACATGCCTTAAAGACTGACCTATTGGATGGAATCAGATGTACAACACTAAGATCAGAGTTGGAAAAAGGTGGCTTTGACTTGGCTACATATTCATTTTTGACACTGCCATAACATATTTCCAAAACTTTAGTTTTCCTGATGGCACATTGCATATATTGCTCAAATCCCACAAACACAATTTCTAGTTTACAGTGGTTAAAATCGCCCAGGAAGAAAATGTGCTGTGTGGTGTCTTCCCACTGATTTGATTCTTATTTATAGTCTAACAGAGAACATCATCCACCGACACTAGCTACATAAATACACTGGAGAGTAGAGTACAGATGTATCCGCACCTGTACAATCACTTGCAAAAAGATTTTAAGCCACAGAGGTGCTGTTTGCCAGATGTTTATGAAACTGTTCTTCTCTCAGTCGCCATCATTGCGTTTACGGTAAACCTGAGGAGCGCAACACATTTGAAACACCACCTACTGCAGTGTTGGAAAACAGTATACCGTCACTCAGCCTTTTCAAACATTATTCAGACATGAAACATCCTGTGCACATGAGAAAATGTTTTGCTGCATTCATGTAGACTCTGTAGACACTGATCAGATCTGTACAGTTTCGCTCCAGTGTGAATCCTCTTTTGTGTTTTCAGATGTGTTAACTGATTAAACCTCTTGTCGCAGTGCGAACACTTGAACAGTCTCTCCAGTGTGAATCGTCTGGTGCAGTTTCAATTTTAGAGCTGTAATAAAAGTCTTCTCACACTCAAGCACATATACTCTTTCACACCGGTGTGGATCTTCATATGTTCATTAAGGTTTGCTGATCGTTTGAAACTCTTCCCACACTGAGTGCATGTTAATGGTTTCTCTCAAGTGTGAATCCTCATGTGTTTATTCAGGTCTGATGAGTTGCTGAAACTCATCCCACACCAAAGCTGCTGCCACACTATAGTTTGAGCATGCAAAATTCTGTTGTATGGAGCAGCGAAAAGGGGTGGGATTAAAAAAAATAACTAGACATTAAAAAAGTAAGCGATTGGTCCATATTTTACATTTCTGTCCAAAAAGGTCATGTTTTGATCTTTGATTGGTCTCACACAGTCAAGTGAAGCGATTTCGTAGGTCAGAGTTCACCAAGCTTGAACTTTGCAACATAGTGAACTGCAAAACTTGACACAAGAACTTGCGTTTTCAGTCTGACGCATTCGCAAGCGTATGAATGGAAGTCTTGGGGAGAAAAGTCCACTGTGACCATGGCTCAAGTGCAAATGAATTGTTTCTCTCCAGTGTGGCTCATCATGTGTTGACTAAAGTGTAATGATTGGCTGAAACTCTTCCCACACTGATTGCATGTGAATGTTTTTTTCCAGTGTGGACCCTCATGTGTCGATTAAGGTATGATGAGCAGGTAAAACTTTTCCCACACTGAGTGCATGAGAATGGTTTCTCTCCAGTGTGGCTCATCATGTGCAGATTACGGGATGATGATTGACTGAAACTCCTCCCACACTGAGTGCAAGTGAATGGTTTCTCTCCAGTGTGGATTCTCATGTGTTGATTAAGGTGTGATGAGCAGTTAAAACTCTTCCCACACTGAGTGCACGTGAATGGTTTCTCTCCACTGTGGACCCTCATGTGGTGATTAAGGGATAATGATTGGCTGAAACTCTTTCCACACTGAGTGCATGTGAATGGTTTCTCTCCAGTGTGGACCCTCATGTGTTTATTAAGGTTTGATGATTGGCTGAAACTCTTCCCACACTGAGTGCATGTGAATGGTTTCTCTCCAGTGTGGACCCTCATGTGGTGATTAAGGTGTGATGATTGGCTGAAACTCTTCCCACACTGAGTGCATATGAATGGTTTCTCTCCAGAGTGGATCCTCATGTGTTCATTAAGGTATGACAAACATTTAAAACTCTTCCCACACAGAGTGCATGTGAATGGTTTCTCTCCAGTGTGGATCTTTATGTGGCGATTAAGGGCTGATAATTGGCTGAAACTTTTTCCACACTGAGTGCATGTGAATGGTTTCTCTCCAGTATGGATCCTCATGTGTTGATTAAGTGCTGATAACTGGCTGAAACTCTTCCCACAATGAGTGCATGTGAATGGTTTCTCTCCAGTGTGGATCATCATGTGAATCTTAAGATTGCCTTCTCTTCCAAAACTCTTTCCACACTGAGTGCAGATGAAACAATTCTTGTGTCTCCTTTCCAAAATACCATCAGTCTGTAAATGAGTTTTTTCCTCAATTTTGACATGATGTTCCTCCTCTTTACTTTCCTCATTCTCTTCAAGTAGGTCTGAAATAAATAAAACATTAGTTTTCATTAAGTCTTAAAAACTCATCAAAAGCTGTAAAGTGAAAAAAACAATCGAAACATTGGCTACACACACTTTAATTTTGATGCATATTAAATGTAAAATAAAACATATTTTGTTCGGTCCATTAACATGTGCACATTTAAGAAAAATTCAATTAATCTTTATTTTTCTAGTGCTTTTATAATGTTAATTGTGTCAAAGCCCTTTAATATGGAAGTTATAGTAAATTGAAACTGTGTCAGTCCAGTTTTCAGAGTATCTTACATAATTGATTATAAAAGTCATTTTGGTCATATTGATAAAACAGAGATTAGAAAGCTGTAAATGGCCTATTTTTATTAATATATTCATAATTACAACAAAATGTTTTTCTAAAATTTGTAAAGCAGACAAGGAATACTTCAGAAAAAAAAGAAACACTTCAGAAAAAAAAAGTTCTGGGGTGTCAGCTGAACAAGCAGCTGAATATTTGCCTCGCAACAATGAGACATACCTGTACAGCATCTGCATAAAGGCTGGAATGTGCGCCTTTCCCCAATATAGTATAAGTTTGTAGATGAAGGCCTAACTTACCCACATTTAGATTGGTCTCAACAATATTTTGTTGCTCTAAACAGAAAACCCATTATTGGCCTTTTACAGTCTAAATATACTTGAATTAATTGAATTAATGCCAATGTGTTAGTCGGACCTCTAAGAACATCGTATAGTCCGTTACTAACCTGTACAGAGGCTTGTGGTGCTATGGACTTAAAGTATAATAACACAAACTCTGTTTGAATAATTCAAAACATAACAATTTATTTGTCAGATAAATATGTATTATGCCAATTTATTCAGTCAATTCATAAACGATCAATATCTGACATTAAATTAAGACCAGTTTAAGATTAAAAGATGTATACCCAACTTCAAAATATACATAACATGGAGCATAAGCTCCATGTTACGGGCTGATCTGGGTAAGCAGAGTCGCGCCGAACATTTTTCAAACCTTCCCTTAAGTAATTCAAGAATCCCCTCAAGGAAAGGGGTGTGTGAATAAAAAAGGCATTTGCATTTAGTGCTGCCTGTGGGAAAGTCACACCCTTCACAGTGGTTCAAAAGATGCCTGAAGTTATATATTTATTGTTTTGATTATGTCTATTTCTGAGAGAATGAGACCATTGTACCAGTCACACGGAGCCATTTCAAATGATATCAAACATGATAGAAAAAGTCACTTGGGTTAATTTAGAACATTCAGACTTTGAAATGACCATACTGTGTGAGTTGGGGTGGTTGAAGTTGAGTTTCATGGGATTCAAATGTAAATGTAGGGGGAGCTGGTTCTTTCCCGCATTCCCACCTGCTGGGTTATGGAGTCAATTGTCTCTGTTTTCGGCTCATGTTTGAATTGTCAAAGACATCCGAATATTTGTAATATCTCAATTCTTACAAGCTTTTCGAATATACATGCCAAATAAGCAAGCTTTGACAACCAAACTGGATCTTTCAGGCAGTGGGCGAACTCCATTTTAGAGTGTTTTAAAAACGAGTGCACTTCTTCTTGAAGTTCATAAAATCACGCGAGTGTCTCCCTTGTGATAACCACTGGACTTCAATGTGAAACAGCAATGCTTCGTGCTGTGAGCCCATCTCGTTGCAAAGTGTGGCTAGTAGTCTGCCGTTTACTGGACGAGATTTTATGTGATTTATGACTTTGATTGCACATTTCATAACACTGTTGAGTTCGGAATCAAGTGCTTTGCTAGCAAAAGCTTCGCGGTGTATTATACAGTGTGTTAACTTCACGTGAGGAGCCACTTCTAAAACCTTTGCCTTAAGTTCCTTGTTTTTAACCGACCATTGCATTAGCACCATCAGTACATACACCAACACAATTATCCCATAAAAATCCCATCTATTTTATTTTAGTGTCCAGTTTGATGAAAATGTCACTACCTGTACAAGTCCCTTTAAGCGCTGAGCAGAAGAGCATATCCTCATGCAGTTTTCTGCCAAATGTGTATTTGATGAACGCCAGCAACTGAGCGAAGTTAGATGCATCAGTAGATTTGTCGACTTGCAGTGTTTTTCCATTTATCCTATCAATCAATTGACTCCTAATGTAATTTGCAATATCATGTACGAGGCGAGCGACTGTGTCGTTCGACAACAGGACAATCAAAAGCTCATTTGCTATTGAATGAGCTTTTGATTCAATAGCGAATGACACCCCCTGAAGTTCTTAAACTTCAGGGGGTGTTTAGACAATTTTCAATCGGGGTTCAGAGCACATCACAGTACAGAGAGCGCTCTTATAAAGATAATCAATGATATACGCCTAAATACAGATTCAGGTAAAATAACAGTGCTGGTATTGTTGGATCTCAGTGCTGCATTTGACACTGTCGATCACAGCATACTTCTGGATAGGCTGGAAAACTGGGTTGGGCTGTCTGGCACGGTCCTCAAATGGTTTAGATCTTACCTTGAAGGTAGAGGTTACCATGTCAGTATAGGTGACCACAGGTCGAGGTGGACACCCATGACGTGTGAACTCCCACAAGGCTCGATTCTAGCACTTCTCCTGTTCAACCTTTACATGGTCCCTCTAAGCCAAATAATGAGAAAGAACCAAATCTCCTACCACAGCTATGCTGATGACACTCAGATCTACCTAGCCTTAGTGCCTAATGACTACAGCCCCATTGACACCCTCTGCCAATGCATTGATGAAATGAGCAATTGGATGTGCCAAAACTTTCTTCAGTTAAACAAAGAGAAAACTGAAATGATTGTGTTTGGAAACAAAGATGAGGTTCTCAAGGTAAATGCGTACCTTGGCACTAAAGGTCAAACGACAAAAAATAAGGTCAAGAATCTTGGTGTGACTCTGGAGTCAGATCTGAGTTTTAACAGTCATGTCAAAGCAGTTAGTAAATCAGCATACTATCATCTCAAAAACATAGCAAGAATCAGATGCTTTGTTTCTAGTGAAGACTTAGAGAAACTTGTTCATGCTCTTATCAGCAGCAGGGTGGATTACTGTAATGGACTCATCACTGGTCTTCCTAAAAAGACAGTCAGACAGTTGCAGCTCATCCAGAACGCTGCAGCCAGAATTCTAACCAGAACCAGAAAGTCAGAGCACATCACACCTGTCCTCAGGTCTTTACACTGGCTGCCAGTTACATTCAGAATAGATTTTAAAGTATTATTACTGGTCTATAAAATCACTAAATGGCCTAGGACCTAAATACATCACAGATATGCTCACTGAATACAAACCTAACAGATCACTCAGATCATTAGGATCATATAAACTAGAAGCTCCAAGAGTTCAGTCAAAGCAGGGTGAATCGGCTTTTAGCCATTATGCCCCTCACTGCTGGAATCAGCTTCCACAAATGATCAGATGTGCTCCAACATTAGGCACATTCAAATCAAGACTGAAAACACATCTGTTTAGCTGTGCCTTTACTGAATGAGCACTGTGCTGCGTCCGACAGATCATGTTTTTCTCTTTTTCTTCATTCTTTTATATCGCATTTTACCTGTTTTTATGTTTTGTTTTGTTTTTACGCATTTTTATTTTGTTTTTATTTTTATTTTACTTGTTTCTTTTATTCTTGTTTATGTAAAGCACTTTGAATTGCCATTGTGTATGAAATGTGCTATATAAATAAACTTGCCTTGCCTTGCCTATTTTCTCACCATGCATGGCCCGACACAGCCAAAGGCTTTATCAGAATTTCCCCAATTGTGTGTGTTTTTGGTCCGCGCAATCAAGTATGACACCTTATAAGATGCCTTTAGGGCATTAGATGCAATTTTGGCTTGTTGCGCGATGATGTTTCTGTTCCTGCAATTCCTTCTTTTTTCGGCGGAAAAAGTCTATAGGCTTTTCAATAAAAGAAGGATGTTTCGTCTCCAAATGCCTTTGCATTTTGACGGGCTTCATACTTTCATGAGCAAGCACTTCTGAACAGATTACACATTGAGGAAAATCTATGTTGTTAACAGCAGAGCAGGTAGGTCCATACGTTATGAATTCATCCTGAAATTTCCGACGTTCCCTACTTTGGTCTGACGAGGTCTTGCTCTTATGCTTAGTGGAAGTAGATGTTCCGATGACTCAGGCAAACTGTCCAAAATTTCTTCAACATTTTTAGATTTACGAATGACGAATGTATCTATTTTGGCAGGTGAGGGTTTTCACAAGCAGATGCATGCTCATGCTGTAGTGATAGCTAGCGAGCTAGCCGCTGCACAGTGATGACGTTCGATTCGCATTTTTTTAACACTCTAATGGTTAATCAGTAAAATCTTTGTTAAAATCTGAAAATATTTGTAGCATTAACTTGTGAAATTGAAAAATATATATTACAATCACAAAAAAATTACACAATTTTTAAATCCCTCTCACGACCCCCTGAATGGGGGTCGCGACTCCCAGTTTGAAAACCACTGCCATAGAACTGGTACACTCATCTTCTGTATGTATTAAACATGGTCTTCTTCAGTTTAAGGTGCTTCATAGGCTTCATCTATCTAGGAGCAAGCTGGCAAAAATGTATCCAGGGTCAGATTCATCTTGCCCCAGATGTGGTTTGGAGCCAGCAGATCTGAGTCATATGTTCTGGGGATGCCCTAAATTAAATACATTTTGGGCCAATATTTTGAGATAATTTTCATCTATATGTAATAAAGATATGGATCCTAATCCTTTGACCTCAATTTTTGGTACAGTGCCAGA